CCCACCTCCTCCTCTCCCTCCTCCTCCTCCCCCCTCCAAAGGCTGGCGTTCATCCCCCCCCCCCCCTTGCCTCCGTCGCAAATGGCCGAAGGGGAGGCCCCGACCAGATCTGTTTCGAGCACGACTACGGGGCAAGGGTGCCATCGCGAGGCCCCATTATGCATGCGGCTAACTGCCACGTGGATACATCCGCCGACCCCCTCCCCTCCCCCCCAAATGACGCGGCAAGTGAGGGGGGCAGGGGTGGGCGGATGACAAGATGGGGATGGGGCAGAAAGCAGGCGAAGGTTAGGGTTGAATGCGCAGAGAACGATGCACACTCAGGAGTGAGGAAAGGAGACATGGGGTTGGGGGGGCAGCTCGACCACGCATCAGTTCTCGAGAGAATGCTCGAAAGGCTCGTCAGCAGTACGTCTGATCGAGCTTGTGACCTGTTTAGCTCTTCCAAGCCCCTCCGAAGCCAACCTGCCCGTCTTGCTCGAGAGGGGGCGACGAAGGTTCGCGCCAAAAAGAAGATCAACTACGTCAACTCACACATCCACAGGGGCCATGGGCCACCACGGATCCGAGAAACGCCACGCTCTGTTGCACAGCCAACGCTCGAGCGCCAGGAGATGCAGTCCTTATCCCCCCCCCCCCCCTCCTCGTTCTCATCCTCCTCCCCCCTCCTCAGAGCTAGGCAGCCGCGGGCGCGAGCTCTGCCTGGGCCAAGAAGGCATGGCGCCCAGCGCAGCTGAGCCGACGGGCGACTATCTGGCCTGAGCCAGTGAAAAAGACAGCTCGAGAGACCCTGCGATCACCCATCGCTTCGGGCCGGCTTGCGCGCCCTCCGACCGATCTACATATCCGAAACCTATCGTCTACCCACGTCGTCTGGGAACGATTTTCCATCTGACCTGACCTGGTCGCCCAAAATTCTGCCCTGACCCGGTCGCCCCAAATTCCACCGCAAACTCCAATGCAATGGAATTTGCGATGGAAACCATTTTCCATCGCATTTCGCCTGATACATTCGCTCAAAACCACTGTTTTCCAATGCATTGGAAAATCCAAATTCCACCGCAAATTCCACCGCAATATTTTCGAGGGTCAGGGGTGTTTTTCCTCAGCGAGCTTTGTTTTTGGGGTGCCCAGGGTCGCAATTCTTCAAGGATGGAGGGCACAAGCTCGATGTGGGCCTGCTGCAAAACTCGCCCCACGGATTCAACATCCCACGAGCTGCAACATTCAGAAGTTGCAATTGAAACCGAGAATTCAAGCCACTGGCGAGAGACAAAATTCTCGGTGAGACCCAGGCTGCTCATCAGCCGATGCATTCATGTGCGAAGCACATGATACCCCAGTCAGAAGCTAGCAGCTAGCACCTGACTCTGCCCCTGAACGTCAGAATCTACGCCTCCTGCTTAATCTCAGCCTGGTTCATCGCCCTGACCTCGTGGAGGTTCATTAAAATCTTGCAGGACTGCGCGAGGCCGTCGAGCTTCGGGTTCAGCATCACGAGCTCAGCAATGCCCTTGAGATACTGCGTGCCCAAGACCGACTTGAGCTTGGGAAACTCCGCCGCCATGATCTTCGGAAGTAGGTCGCTCGAGTTGATGATGGCCATGACGGCCTCCAACTTCGCTTGCGTCGTCGGCGTCTCTGGGTCGGTCTTGGCCCACGCCCATTCTGCCCGCTTCTCCATGTTTGTCTGCAGGAGGCTGGCGCTGGATGTCAAACTCAAATAGCGCTGGTAACATTTCCGTGCTGTGATGATGTCGCGCTTCGCCTTATCTTTGGCTTCCTTCGTTTCCATGGCCAAGCGTTCCTGTGCAGCCGACTCCTTTTTTTCCTTGGCCAGCCTCGACTTCTTCTGAGCAGGCGTCTCGTCGAGGTGCTTGGCAGCGTCGGCGGCTGGCTTCCCCTCGGTGGCGGCTTGGCCTGTGGCAGCGGGCTTGCCCGCGGTGGCGGCTTGGCCTGTGGCAGCGGCCTTGCCTGTGGTGGCTGCCTCGCCTGGGCCCGCGGCGGCGACCTGGCCCGTGCTGGCGGCCTGGCCCGCGGGCGGGGGGTCGGAGGGCTGCTTGCTCGTAAGCCTCCTCCTCTTGCCCTCTCCGTCAGCCGCCGCGTCCGCCTCCAGCTCCTCGGGGTTGGCAAAAAAAAAAAAAATGGTTCCGGATGGGGGTGCGCGATGAGGAGGAGCAGGAATATCATCGAACGTGGGAAGGTGAGGATGGTCGAAAAGAGGATGAGGAGGAGCAGCAGCAGCAGCAGCATGAGGAGAGAGATGAGGAGAGACACGCCAGGAGGGAGGGGGGCAGGAAGAAGAGGAGGAGGAGGAGGAGGAGGAGGAGGAGATGGGAGAGGAGGAGGCGGATGGGGACGGCGGGGAGGAGCAAAGGAGGGGAGAGGCGAGGAGCGGGAGGAGAGGGGGGGAGACGGAAGGAAAAGGTTTGGGAGGGGTTGAGCAGTCCGTGGGTGTGTCCTCAACCTTCTTGTCCAGGACGGCGCGCGGGTTGTTCGACCACTCTTTGTGCAGGGTCCAGGCCGTCGTGAAGGTGTTCGTGAAACCCTCGGCTGCATCGCGCCCCCTTCCGATCGATCGATTGATCTCGTGATCTTCGAAGCAATCGGAGGAGGAGGAGGACGACGACGAGGAGGAGGGGGGAGGAAGGAAGAGGTGGGGGAGGAGGAGGTGCAGCAGGAGGAGGAGGAGGAGAGGTAGGACACACCCTGGGGACGTAGACCGAAATCGCGTCGCCTGCCGTCGCAATCAGCAAAGATCGAGCTTCGATCAACGAGGCAAACCGAGCGGGGCGCGGTCTCCAAGTACAGGCACCGCAAGCATGATGTCATCGGGCAATATACGATCCAGGGCGGCCCCATCTGCATGCACTTGCTGAAGTAGCGGCAAGCCTGGGCTTGGGCCCACTCTTTGGGGCCCCCCCCATCATCCTTAATCTGACTCGTGCTCCCAGCCTCGCGCCTCTCCCCAGTCCTTCCCTCTCCTCGCCGCCCCTCCAACCTCATTCTCTACGTCCTTCTTCCTCCGAGGCGCATCCTCGAGACAGCGCCCCTGGCACCCGAAGTCGGGTCGGCGGTTCGACCAACGGGCTCGTTATTTTCAAGACCCCCAAGGCCTACCATATCCCCCTGCCGATTACACGTGGTGCCCAAAATCGCGCCAGAAACCAGATGCGCCATTTCTCCAGAAGACGAAGACATGGACGAGGGAGGAGAAGGAGGGGGAGGAGGAGGAGGACGGGCAGGCAAACGAGGAGGAGGAGAGGGAGAAGGAGTCAGGAGGAGGAGGAGGAGGAGGAAGAGGAGGCGGAGGAGGAGGAGGAGGAGGAGGAGGAGGGGGAGGAGGGGGAGGTGGGGGAGGAGGAGGGAGGCGGAGGAGGAGGAATAATCGAATCGCGGTCAAATTCGACCCCCCCCCCAAGGAGCTTGAAGCCAGCCCAGCTTCCCTC